TGGTCAGTGTTTCTGTCACAGTCCCAGTAAAGCAAATAAAGAAAGTAAAAAATTAACTATAGGTACGTGAAAGCTTGAAGCTTGAGGCTTTATGTACTTTGTGATGGACCGCCTGGCACCCCGACAGGGTACCTCTATCAATCGCTGATCCTATTGCTCACTGAGGACTCCAAGCACTCCACCAGACACCATAAGCACTGTAGACCCCACGAACCGCCGCAGCTTGGTTTGGGTCTCACCGTCCTCCACCCACCCTGGACCCAAGACCAGGATCCAGCTTCCAGTGGGTAGACCTCTCCTACTCCAGAGAGTATAGTAGGAACAGCTCTTAGAAGAGCTAGTGATTATACTCAGGGGAGTATTGTGATATAGTGTATGTAGTTTTCCAATCCCCCCAAAAATGAGCCAAGACTTCATGAAAGGGTAAAACATCTTGTTAAATGGGAGCCACAGCTGGCCTTTTATGCAAGTCCCCATGCAAGGGAACACCCACGTGGACCTTATGGGGACAGGATGAAAATTGTTACAAAACAATAATAATGCAGTATAGTAGGTGACACTCCCACACATTACACACAATCCCTCCCCTCATCCTGGGAGATAATTGAGTCAAGTCCTGTATGTAACTCAATTATCTCCAGGCAGAAAAACACACATTTTTACAAAGTATGAAAAGTACCCCAAAACACAACATAAACGCTCAGAGGTTTTCCAACCTCCTTAAACCAATATTTTAATCTCAATTTAAGGACATTAACGAATCAATAGATGGTGAAGTCCATCTTCTCCAAGACTAGTTGGATGACCTAGAAAATCGTAGCAGCCGGAACAATCTCGGATTTAGGACTACGAGTATAAGTTAGATGTCATAGGCAAGTACAGAGCACTCTTGAGACTTACTGTCTACATTAGAAGCACTTGTAGATACCATTAACAAGATTTTAGTGACTGTACAATTTGCTGCTTTGGCACCTTAGTAATATTGGCCACGCCCGATTTTTATAGCATAAGACACGACCCTAGCGTGTCACCCGGGCACCCATCCAATAGAGGTTTAGTTTGTTTTAAATTTTGTTTGGATTTTTCTGACGACTCTATTCACTTAAATGTTTTTAATTGCAATTTTCCTAATAAAAGTTATTTTTTAAACACTATTGTAAATACAAAACAGATCCCCCAGGGATTTCCTCCTTTGTGACCCTTGGGGTTTGTCCTCTAGGGGTCATTTGCGCTTCCCAGAATCTGTAAAGTCTGGAAATATCATTCCCACTTTAAAACCTTGCAACTTGCAACTTGCAACCAGGGCCGGTGCAAGGATTTTTGCCGCCCTAGGCAAAAGAAAGATTTGCCGCCCCCCTGGGACATCGCAATGCCCCACCCATATGATCTGCCATATGAACTAGTGCCAGTGCTGCACGCAGTGGTTCTGGGGACTATAGTGTCCATTTAATGTGAGGTAAATTAGAGATTAGTGTCACTAATAATATACTAGATTGCCTACTTACAATCAGATGAGGATGGTGATGGGCTCTGGCTGCAGTCTGGCTCCACTGGTCTGGTATAGAACAGGATCTCTGGAGGCTGTTTGTAACTGTGGTCACAAAATTCAATGTTCTGGGAGAATGGGAAGCAGCTCAATTTATTGGGGCCTCTTACATAGCTCAAGGTCTGGGCCCCAGGGCCTGACGGTGAGTATGCCCATAAAGCCCACCCATAAGTCCACCTACATGTTCCACCCATGAGTCCGCTCACAGGGAGTAGAGTGTATAGGGGATGTGTTATGTGTTACTGTAGAGGATCTAATGTGTGTGCTTATGGAATGTAGTGTATAGGGTACCAGTTTGTGTAGATGATGCAGTGTGTTTGTGTGTAGTGGAAGCAGTGTGTTTTTGTGTAAGGGATAGAAAGCAGTGAGTGTTTGTGTATAAGGGATGTATTGTGGGTTTCTTGTTGTGTGTAAGGGATGCATTGTGTGATTCTGTGTTTGTATGCATAAGGGATGCAAAGTGTGTGTCTGTGTATGTAAGGGATGCAGTGTGTGTGTCTGTAAGGGGTGCGTTGAGTGTGTGTAAGAGATGCATTGTGTTTCTGTGTGTGTGTAAGAGAAGCAGTGTGTGTTTGCATGTGTGTGTAAGGGATGCATTGTGTGTTTCTGTGTATATGTGCAAAGGATGCATTGTCTTTATGTGTAAGGGTTGCATTGTGTGTTTCTCTGTGTGTAAGGGAAGCATGTTGTGTTTCTGTGTGTATAGGGATGCATTGTGTGTGTGTGTGTGCTCGTGGTGTGAAAGAGCTCCCTGTCCTGCCCCCTGTCCTAGAGAGCTCTCCCTTCCATTCCTTAGAGATCTCCCCTGCCCCTTAGTGGTCTCTCCTCTCCTCCCCCCCCTCCCCTATAATCTTCTCCCCCCCAATAATCTTCTCCCTTCCCCTATAATCTTCTCCCCCTTCCCCATAATCTTCTCCCCCCAATAATCTATTCCCCTCCCCTATAATCTCCTCCCCTCCCCTATAATCTTCTCCCCCCCCCCATAATCTTCTCCTCCCTATACCTTTCTCCCCTCCTATCTCCCTTCCTGTCTTCCCCTATACCTTTCTCTCCTATAATCTTCCCTCCCTGCCCTATAATTCTCCCCTATAATTCTCCTCCTATACCTTCTCCCCCTATAATCTTCTCCTCCTATAATCTTCTCCCTCCCTATAATCTTCTCTCCTCCCTATACCCTCCTATAATTTCCTCACTTCTATACCTCCTTCCCTAATAATCTTCCTCTATAGTTTGTCTTTCTTCTCGCCTGTAGCGCGTCGGTGCTCTCATCTCGGGTCCGCGACCCGGCGGGACTGACAGGAAGTGCACACTCAGTCCGGCTGGGTCGCGGACCGGAAAGGAGCTCGGCCATGCTACAGGGAAGGGGAGGTGAGGCAGTGCGGCAGCTGTCTGAGCGCTCTCTATAGAGAGCTCTGCGTGCGGCTGTTGTAGAATCAGAGGCGTGAGGGAGCTGTGATTTCCCTGCTCTGCTCCCTCCTTTGTCATTAGCTGATGGCACGGGAGCCTATAATATGACGTCATATTCCGGCTCCCAGCATCAGTAGACAGCCCGCGGGAGCAGAGCAGTGAAATCCCAGCTCCCTCGCCGCCTCTCATTTTACAACAGCTGCACACCTTCCAGCAGCCCCACTGGATCCCAGGGACAGATCCATGCCAGCTCTCCAGGTAGGGAGGCTGGGTTGAAAGTGTTTAATTATAAAATATTAATAATTAGAGAGTGTGTGTGAGTGAGTGTATGTGTGTGCATGTGAGTGTCTGTCAGTGTGTGTTTGTGAGTGTCTGTCAAATCAGTGAGAGTATGTTTGTCATTGAGTCTGTGTGTGATTATCAGTGTGTCTGTCAATGAATGAGTGTGTGATCAGTGAGTGTGTCTGTCAGTGACGTCTGTGTGTTTGTCATTGAGTGTGTGTGACTATCAGTGCGTATCTGCCAGCCATAGGCATGCGCAGCCTATTGTATAAGGATGTGCACACTAAAGCAGAAACACACACGCTACATATAATATATATATATATATATATATATATATATATACACACACACACACACACACACACACACACACTGTTATGGACAGATGAATTAAAATAAAATGGCTATTTACTAATGTCTATTTATTCTGTGTTCACTATGTTAAAACTGGCTGCTAGAGTAAATATTCCCTTCCCCCCCTACAATGTGTTCAGTTGCTGTTTCCTATGTAAATTCTTCATCCTGCTAACATCCCCCTTCCCATCAAGCAAACCTCATGTAACCAAAATTCCTGTGTTAACAGCTTCCTTTACTAACACCTCCCCCACTTCCTTTGTGCCAGTTAACAGCTATATGCCACGTGTAACAAAATGGAGAATCACTGTTAAAGTAACTGAAAGAAACTACTCACTCCCCCTCCCATCGTGTATCCAGAAGTCTGTAATGATGACACTACATCCTGTAGGGGGGGTTTAGACAAGACCCCCTTAGACTGTTAACCAATTATTGAATGTATACTGTATGTTTAAACTGTGACGTATTTTTGCTTTAAGAAGGAGCCCCCACTCCGGGGAATAAAGCATTCCTTGGTTTTTCACTGATCAGAAACTTTGTCTCCGGTGTGAATTACTTCTAGGGAAAGCGTGCACGCATTAATCAATCAATTTGGAAGGTGTAGATAGACAAATTATCAAAGTTTTCTTTGATCCAAAACAATTTGGGGGCTCGTCCGGCATGTGAGGGTTACGTTAATAAGGAAGCCGTAAAATCCCAGGACCGGAGAGGAGACCCCCAGAGATTGGAAAAAAAAAAAAAAGAGCCTGATCACCTCTGCATATGGTAAATGAGTTACTTACCCTATATTTTCCTTTCTTTGGACTTCGTTTACTCTCTGTTCCTTCACTCTGCTTCCTGTTAACGTCTTCGACAGGTATATAGTATGCCCACATGTCCCCTTTATTTGAATAGAACCTGTCAATTTGTCTATCTACGTCCTGTGTGTGAGTTTTATGTGTGAAAGTGTCTGCTTGAGAATCTGTTTTACTACTTGCTTAATACGGTTATATAATGCTGCCAAGTGTGGTTAAGCGCTTGCAGATTTAGCCAAGTTCGGGTTTGGTGGAAAAACCCTGGCTGTTTCTTTGTTTTAGTTAGACTAGGTGAAGAGTTTAAAAGTTTATTTTATTTGTTTTAGCTAAGCTTCGGTAAAGAAGCTAGTGAGAGACTTGGTGTAGAGTTACAAAGAAAAGAAAAGGAAAAGTTAATGTTTATGTGCCTGAGTGTTTCTGTGTGTGTGATTTGAGTTATTATAAGCCAGCATTTATTTTAAGAACTTTGTGATTTAATTACATCTGTATTTTGTGCTTTTGTCTGTGTATGTCTTGTTGGGTACCATATATGTTAATTGTAATCTATACAATCTGTATCGTCACTATCCTATTCTATCTTTTGTCCTAAGGAGAGCTGTGCTTAGGCACTTACATGGTTAAATACTTTGTGCTTGCAACTCTGCTTCACCCTCTCCTCCCCCCTCCCTTTTTTTTTGCATCACTCTGGTTCTCTGTGCTCTGCTAGGACGTACATGTGACCTTGATGCACGTTTCCCTTAATCTATAACTCCTAAACCTCTCTCTCTCTCTCTCTCTCTCTCTCTCTCCCTCTCTTTCTCTTTCAGTCAGTCTCTTTCTCTCTCTCTATCCCTCTCTTTCTCTTTCAGTCAGTCTCTTTCTCTCTCCTTCTCTCTCTCTTCCTAAACCTCTTTCTCTCACCTTATCTCCCTCAGCCTCTTGCTCACTTTCTCCTACACTCTCTCTCTCTCTCACTCTTTTTGTCTTCCTTACTTTCACACTCTTCCCCCACTCTCTCGCTCCCTCATTCTCTCTACCTCAGTCTCTCTCTCTCTCTTTCTCTCTCTATCTCTCAGTCTCTCACTCTCTTTTGGTCCAGGGTCTGCTTCTCTCTATCCATACCACTGTTGTGTATAAATGGGTCAAACTAATGTTAGCCCCTCCCGGGGTCGGTTAGCATGTGACCTTGTAAAGGAAAGAGCTGGGGACTTAGCTGTAGCCAAACTTAAGAAAATTATTAAACTGTGTGGTATTACTATGTCCCACAGTGGCATATTGCAGGCGGAAGACTGGAGGAAACTTTTAAACGATAAACATGGGATATTGTTAGATAATGGGTTAATGAAGGCCGCAGATTCTTGGTATCGGGTGGCTCGAGGGATTAAGAAGGAGTGGTGGATTGAGGAGGAGATAGACCTAGAGGGGAAGAAAGTCTTTGTGTATCATGAAAAAGGTTGTTTTGTTGAATCTGTTGAAGGCGTTTCCAGCCCTCCTCCATATGATAAGGCCTGGCCAGAAAGGGGGGTGGCTCAACCAGCCCCTGGAGCCCCCACACAGCCCATTCATGTTAACACATGCTCTCCAGCCCCTGCTGCCTTGTACCCTGTCCTTAAGGCAGACGGTTCATGTTATTTTCCAGCCCCCTCTCCTTCTCCACTCCAAATCCCAGTCACACATTCCCTTCCTGTTTCTTTGCCTCCTCCTCTCTTGCCCATCTCTGCTGCTACACCCTCTCTTCCGACTCCTGTTTCTTCTGTCCACGCCCAATTCCTTTCACATCTCCCTATAACTTCCGCCCTTACTTCTCCTTTGGATTCTTTCTCTTCTGCCCTTTCACTGTCACCATTTCCTGTTTCTAACACACCCATCCCTTCCATGATGGTAACTTCCCCTACCAACACCCCTGTGGTCGCTTCCTCCCTCCCTTCTGTATCCTCTTCCATTCCCACCCCTCTCATAACTGCCCCCAGTGTATCTTTCCCTATTATGACTATTGGATCCACTGTTCCTGCAGCATCAGGCTATCCTCCTGCTGCCACCACTGCAGCATCAGGCTATCCTCCTGCTGCCACCCCTGCAGCATCAGGCTATCCTCCTGCTGCCACCCCTGCAGCATCAGGCTATCCTCCTGCTGCCACCCCTGCAGCATCAGGCTATTATCCTGCTGCCACCCCTGCAGCATCAGGCTATTATCCTGCTACCTCCACTGCTACATCAGTCACTTCTCCCCCTGCCTCACAACTTGATTCAGTCCACATTACTACTACAGTTAGTCACCCTGCGGCCAGTACTACTGCTGGACCGATTTCAGTTCTTCCTGACATGGCTCGTGTATCCAGCCAACAGATTCCCATTCCCCCTGCTGATGGTAGTGTCCAGGGGGCGCAGCCTCCACAGACCCCGACTAATCTGCCTCACATTCCCATAGCAGGTGCTTGCAGTGCCCAGCATGATCAGGAGGGTAAAAACAAAGAAAACGTTACCTGCGCTCTGGCCTAAATCCCCATGTGCGTTTAAACAGAAATGGAGGCTCTTTGGTTTTATTCTAATGGCCATTTGAATATGTAAGCTCACCTGCCACGTCAAGGCAAGCCTCAATAGGTGAGTTCCTACACTAGCCATTAGATATGCCGATATCAGTCATGAGTCTCCAATGAGACAGGAAGGGGTATTTTATAAACCCTTTAACATTTAACCCTTTATAGGGCTTCTGCACATACAATAAACTTTGCTGATATCAGACAAAGTGAGACAGAAAAGGGTGTTTTATAAACCCTTTAACATTTAACCCTTTATAGGGCTTCTACACATACAATA